ACAACTGTGCAACTTGGTGTGGCGGCGAACACATGTGTCACCCTGATAGTATGTCGTCGTAAGCGGTGGATTGGAGCAAGCAAACGATTCGAAGCCATATTTTGCAGCGAGGTTATCACGGTGCTTACAAAAGAAACGTAGTAGGCAACCTGAAATGAGATAAACTTTTCAACGAAGCGAAATTAAATGAAACCGACAAAAGTGAGAAAGACATCCTCCTCTAACTGAACGTAATTTTAAATTACGATCTGAAAAGAAAAGCTTATTCTCTATTCCACTAGTGTGTTTCTATGACAACAGGTCGCCTTCATAGTACCGTAGACTGCAGGGCAACTTTTCCATTGAAGTTGTGAAGAAAAAGATGTTAGTTGCTCGGATGGCAAAAGTTGTCATTTACGTCATCGTTCTGTTGAATCGAGGATTATGTTTCAAACCAAATAATCTTGTATGAGCCACGAGGCAACAAATTCAAATCCAGGTGATCATTTTAACAAGGTGATGCTAGCGCAACCAGCGCCATCTTTACCCATAAGTGAATGATAAAACCGTCTTTCGCGCGGTAACCCGCACCATTAACTGCCGTACATACCAGTGGTACTACGTTAAACTCAACCAATTTGCCATAGTTACTACTAGTATATGAGGCAGCCATTTTTTTTTAAATCCCCGGTTACGATTTAGATGGCTACCCCCACAGAGTACTGTTGGTAAATTCGATGAGTTTGTTATATTTCAACGTGTACGACAGTTGGCTATGCGGTTGACGCGCCAAAATGGTTTTGTTATTTACTTATGGGTAAAATTCGCTTTATTGTTCAAATTACCGCGACCGTCACCGCATGATCACGTGGGGGTTGGATTTTGTTGCCCGTCGCGTTGCTGATACAGGAATTACCTGGTAGTCAACAACAGTTGACTATCCTGCCACCACGAGGAAGACGGTTTTGTTTTTACCGAATATATCTGATTTAGTAAAAAAAATCCAGATTTTTATTTCGAGTAACGCTAGATATGTTCGGAGCGTTCAGTTCAAAACAAAAAATGAAATTGACAGACGAGGTGGCTTTTTGATTGGCTGTCCGTTTCAATCATCCATTTCAAGTAACAGGCAAAGCAATTTCGGCTCAAATGAGAGTAAATAACGCCGGCGAATACAATAACTTCAAACTAAAATGGGTAATTCAGCATCCTCAGCGGCTGGGAATCGGATAATGAAGGTCTTATAATTTGGCGTGGCATTTAAGGAGTATCATACACAAGATCGCTATCTAAAAGCTCAAATTAGAAAATACAGTCCCTGTGACAAATTGAAGCGGACAGGATATTGAGAAATATACTCGCAAATTTGGAATCATTCTAGGGCCTTCTCTACAGTTGAACATTTATATTGCTCAAGCCAACAGTGACGGTGGCGATTTCCCAAAGATTGTAGAAATCGGTACTAATTTACGTTTTGCCATTCACCCCGAGATTAATTAAGCACATCGCTACCAGTTTGTTCATGTCCGTCTCAAAACACCGAGAAGAGATTCGCTTTATAGAGGCTCGTGTCTTAATTCGAAGTAGTTTCGAAATGAATATGTTACTTTGTTATTAGACACACTCTCATTTTGTTGCGGCTATTTCTAAAAGATTGTTGAAGACAAAGAACGGGCTTTTATTGCAATATTTAAAATACAGAGATATACGTGAAAGACGGAGACGATCCCTGTTTTTTCAAGCTGGAGTGATTGCCGATGACTCCGAGTCACCGATAGCCACAGGAGCGCTGTTTCTTTGACTTCACGCCTCGAAAGGCATCAGCCTCAGTAAAAAAAAAAAAGTTTCATCGCTTCAAATTACACACGAAAACGAGATGAAATAGTCTATTGGATGCCTGGAGCAGCAAGTGATGCGAGGAAAGAAAATGGAATGGTCGGCAAGAAGCCGATAATCGGGGCGGCGGTACTACATCACACGGAGCGGCTCACGACGGCGGATATTAGGGATAAATAGGACGGTTAACAGAAAGTGGGAAAACTAGACGTTTAGAAATAATTTCTCTTGATGGTGAAAATAACCGGAGGTGATATACGTCTAAATTAAACCCAGTACGCCGATGCCGTCTTCTTATATTTAATGACAGGTAGAAGGAGAATTAAATGAGATCGGAGGCAATAAAACTGAAAGAACGCGCCGCAATTTATGAAGTGCCTGGAAATATCATTTTGTTTCGTTTCTTAGGCTTTTATTTATTCAACAAATATAAATAAAAAGAGGTGGTTTTATAGTCGGCAGTCAATCCAATTTTAAAACTGACCTCAGGGGACTCGTCTCACAAGAGGTTAATAGCACTGAAATAGCAGTGAAAATCTCGGTAAACAATTTACGCGTAGTTAATTGAAATAAGAAAGGGCGCTAACGGTCGTGGAAAGAGAAAATTACCATATCTTCATTTTCATTTCATTGACGTAGATGGCGCTGTTCGAGATTATAACTTATATTGCTACAGTGAATGATCTTGTTTTCACATTTACGCGGATTTCTCAAATAAAGCCAAAAATAGTGTTTCCAAATATTTGCACTTTTTTCATATTATATATATTGAAAATGTCAGGTAATCGTAGTCCATGGTAATTCAATATAAATATGTATAGATGCTGTTGAAGATGAAACTCATTTTCTGGTAGTTTGTCCAGCATATAACCATATTCGAAAACCGCTTTTTGATCGAATTAACTGGATTGAACCACAATTCGAGTTCCTCTCGCCTATCAGTAAACTCACATATATTTTTTCTCAGGATAACCATGAAATCATCCAAATTCTTGCAAGATTTCAAGTTGTATACACAGCTTTTCAGATTAGATATAATTTGTTAGTGTATGTGTGTATATATATATATATAATACTTTATTTTATTGAGGCGATTAAAGTCACGCCTGTAACTTTCGCATTGTATCCTGTTCCCCCAGGTTAGTGGGGTATATTTCTTCAGAGAAATGGAAATAAAATAATAATAATAATATAACCAGATATTTCGGACAAAGTATCCATTCTCAATATTACTGTATATAAGATAAGATAACTTTATTGACATTATTCGTTCTAAAGAAGATGAACACAGTCAAGTAAAATATACGAATATAGCACCGTATTGATATCTTTCATTGTGAATGAATACGTAATGTCTTGTTTTATTGAATAATTACCAAAGAGTATGGTTAACCACTAGCATATTATATATATGTAGCGGTCCGAGTAGCTTTCATGAATTTAATTGTGTTGGTTCCGACCGTAATCCATGCTTCTTCCCCGACAGTTCATCATGTGTCGCTTTCAAGTTTGGAGACATTCTGCTTCCCACGAGAACCTGTCGTGCCTCTTATCTGTTTTCCCTTATAATGTGTATATCATGGAGGGGGCTGTACAATTTTGCTAAACCATCATGATGATAACAACCCCTGGAACTCCTGAAACACATTAAAACAAATCCTGCAGACAAATATTATTTGTATTACTATCTTCCCCGATAACGCCAACAATTTCTGAATTTTTTTTTATTATCGCGTTTATGTGATTCAATTCACAAGATGAGTTTCGAAAGTGCGCATGCGCTTATAATTACTAGTGCGTACTAGAACACAAGCAATATATTATTGTATTTAGTGAATATATAATGTTGAAATCAAACGATTTCAACTTACAATAACAAATTACGCACTGAGTGTATACGCCAACATGTAGTGTCTAGCACATCATATTTAAGAATATATTCTGCACTACATTTCAGAAAACTGTTTTTTTTTTGTAAATAAGATATACACATAAATTTCAAACAACTTGGCCCACCACAAAGGTTTAGCGAAAAAAATATCACCCGTATAGAATTCATCAACAGTCAGTGTGACCTTTGACCCACCACAATAATTTCCGTGCTACCTGAAAATGAACTATGATATGTTTTACATTTTGAATATTCCACGGCAAAAAGTAGTAACGATTAAGTTGAAGCGCTTTGAATCAGTTTGATGGGAACTACATTTCTAATGTCTATGATTTCGCGCATAAATCAAACGTGAAGTGAAAAGACAGATACTCATGGGAAATGTGCGTTACCAAATGTCTTCCCCCAGGCTAACGAAAACGTGGTTTTCGGATTTGATTGTAGCACAGGGGTCTTCCGGGGGTAAATATTTTATAAATATTTGATGAATTTCCACAATGTATAACTAAGTTATTGTTTCTGTCACTCCCAGTCATTTGAATTTTATTTAGCCACCTCCGCCACCCTCTTTAAAATATTGAACAGTGTATCTGCCTTCTATATATAATACCCCCCCCCCCCAACGTAACGTGTACCACTCGATTAGACTGGCACAGTCTGGGCGATTTTTTTTTTTTAATTTAAAAAAAAATTTAAAAAATAGCGAAATAGAGGTATTAACGCGAAATTCCCCTGTAACCGCGAAATGTGGTGGTTTCGCGTTCACCCCACTTTTCGCAAAACTATTTTTTCCGCCGCCGTGAAATCGACGCATCCTCCACTTTAATAGAAAATGTGTATTTTTTAACATCGTTTTTTAATACAGCATGTTGAGGACAAAATGAATTATGATTTATTGTCAAATAAAATTTAGCTTTTACAACATATTGTATAGTATTCGCTCGTTAAAAAAAAACACTATTGCGCATGTGCCATGACTATTATTGTTACCTACCAAAACACACGTAAAAATTGCATGGCGTCAAGCACCATATTAACGCGTGGGAGTCGTCACCTGCGCATGTGGCAAACGGCCGTAGCGTGCCGTGTTTACAAACAAGCGTCTACCCATGAGCATTTTTGTGTTTAGCGTGCGTTGTTACCCAGGGTCTTGACGACCTCTCCGTTTTAATATTAATTTCGTGTCAAATTTAATATTTGGTGATCGTTGCCCCACGCCTCAGTATATGACACACACCCCCAAACCGGTCTACATAGCAGAATATTTTACCGTAGATGGCGCAGTCACATTCCATCAAGGTTGCGGTTAATAGGAAAGCAACAACGAGCTCAACAAACATACAATGGTTCTTGAAATTTAAAATGGCGACCAGGGGTTCACCGTCATCGCCTGCTCGGAATGAACCAAGAAAAGCGTTATTCCGTTCACCAGCTCCTTTCGAAGATAACCAGTCAACACCAGGTAGGTATGACACAAAACGCTGTCTTTAGGCGAAACATTCCAACTATAAGGAATCACTGTGAACGAAAAACGCCCAACCAGCGGTCTTTTGCTCACTGTTTAAATCGTGTTTTGCAAACAAAATAGCAACATTGATAGTTGAAATGTAACAGTTTTGACAAACCAGTGAGCTATATTGCAATATTATTGGTTGGTTTGCTTTTTTGTTTCAAGTAACAACCAGACAAGACTAAAAGACAAAATTCAGTATCACTTTGTAGAGTCGAGGTTATCAGCTATGTTATTGTTACTTGTCTTGAGTCAGTCGTTGTTAAAGTTCCAACAAATGACATGAATCATGCCATAACTGGCTCAATAATTCCTCAAATTTGGTCACTTTCTGTTGTGGTCATCAGTGTTATATTTTAACTTTAAATCGTGTGTTGGGATGGCATTAGTTTGTTTTTCCCACAAATCAAACTAAACAAAGCAACTACTCAAATTGATTAGTTCAGGCGTAGTTTCGCATAATATGAGGTTGTCATGAGAACACTGCAAAGTATGAATGAAGGTAATATGCCTACAAGAAAATATGCGCCTGTTGATATGCGATCCCATACTGCCTTTGTGTATGCTTTTGCGATGATCTCAAAATAAATATATTATTATAGTTCTTTTTCCTGTTTGTAGTAATAATTTAATGAGATAACAGCCCAAATAGTGAACGAAAAGTATGACTTGACTTTTCTGTATATGACTACGTATAGTATAGAAACCCAGTGGAAAATAAACAGAGGTGCAAACTGCGACTGCAAACTTTATCGATAATCCAGAATGCAGTCCCGGAAGAAAAAGTGACGAATATTTTAACCCCTTAGTCATTATTTTAAAATACATTATTTTATTAAAAATATTACCAAATGAATTTTTAGTATACTACTGGTACTGTGTGTACTTATGACGGTTGTATGCGATTCGGGGGCTTAGAGTAAATTGTATCGTGCTTTCACATTACTGTATCAGCCATTTTGTTTAATGATTTTACACTTTTTTTTGTTGATGATTAGGCTATCTTTATCACAGATTAGTACATCTTTTGTTTCAAATGTTTACCCGCGACACGCATCCAATGAAAAGAACATGGTTTGTTTCCTAACCATATTTTTTAGTAACTGTAGTTTCAGTATGGCCCTATAAAAGTTATGCCCTATAAGCAATCGGATTGGCCGATCATTCAAAAATTTTGAATACAGACACCAAGTGGGATAACACTAAGTTTTACATACATGTACTACAGGATATTTAAAATTGAATTAGAACATGAGAAATACCCATATTTGTAGGTTACAGTACTTAAAAGATATGTAATGGATGTACATCCATTTGATACGATACAATAGATGATTTTCCCTTTACTGCAACATATTGCATGGTACAAATGTCTGTCACAAAAATCAATAATTTCATTTTACGTTTGATTTCATGCATAACACAGATTTCGTAGTGAACAGAATATGATGAGACATCGTCCACTGCAAAAGATTGCCCATGGGTGATGTTTGAGCACCTGGGGGATCTATTGGTTCTGCAAAAACAAATACTGTGAAAAACTTTATTTTCACGTATGAGAAATAAAAGGTCAGATAGCGCGATTTTATTTTCACGCAAAACAGTGTCATCATTCCCTTTGTTTTCTTGGTGCATAGATTTCATTTTTTGCATGCTTTGTGGACAAAAATGAAAAAAAAACATTCCTGCAATAGCATTTCGTAACAGATTTATTTTTAATGAATAACAGTTTTTGGTGTCATTAACACAAAAGTAAAATCATTATCATTTTTTTTATTTTTACATATTTGATGCATCATCTTACAAGGATTAGGAAAATAAAATAAAAATATGGGTTTACCTTATTCAGTTCAGAGAAAATTGATCAATAAAATACAGTGAAAATGGCATGTTTCTGTTTTAGGTCATTTTACCACTGTTTTCTATGGCAGGAAATATCCTCAACATTTTTCTCGGTCACATATGGTAAAAAAACATTTATAGTGTCTTACAATGTACTTTTTGATATCCAGATGTATTAACAAAATTGACAATATTTTTAGTTGGTTTTTAATGAGAAAATGTGTTTTCAGTGTGGTCTTTGGAAACCGCTGCTAAAATGTTATTTATTTTTTAATCAGATTGACAATGAATCAAAATAAGTTCATATATTATTGACAATACTGAAACAATATATCAAAGTTGTACATTAAATCACTTACAAGTAGAAAAAGTAAGTAAGCAACCGACAGCCTGTATAAAAGGGGGGGCTGTGATTGGCTGTTACTTACGCGAGATTTGAACGGGACTTACATAGGCGTCGGATCAGATGTAGGTAAGGCGGAATTAAAAAAAATCAAAATCAAAGTAAAATAATAAAATAAAAGGGCATTAATAACAAAAGTATTAAAAAATAAAATTAAAATAAGTTTATAGCCAAAATAATTAAAGCCCGTACACTACATCAGATTTTAATCCGATTGGAATTACGGTACAAAAACACAATTTACTTTGGAGGCTCTGCACACATGTTAACAATCCCATGTTAAATACGTCGCCATCTTGATAGGCTTTTATGTGTCTCTTCCCATAATCAGTGTTCTCCACAAATAAAATTTAAAGAGGGGCGGCGGGTGCACATTTGCATATAATTAGCATATCTAATAAGAGGTTTCTTAATAACATCGTCGGGACAGCTGTTTACCGAAAACAAAGGAGGGTGCTAAAGATAAACAGGGGCGCTACAAGTTAAAGAGGGGCGCAAATAAATTAAAGAGGGGCGCTGCGCCCCTCTTAAACCCCTTGTGGAGAACACTGTATAATAGTATAGTGTGACATAATTTTCTAGTCCCATCTCATGACTGAATTCAACAAATTATATGTACTCGACTCTTAGCATTTTATGTGACATTAGCCTTGTAGGGTCACTTTGGTCATGCAATAGGTGATTTTCCGTACAATTGCAAGATTTCGCGAGATGCATGAAAGACACGCGCCGAACGTCTGCCGGGAAAAATCGAACAATTTGATTTTGAACTCTTAATTTCTTTATTTTGTAGCTCATATTGACTGGCCGATCTTCGACAGTGGAATGTTGCTTCCGAAATTGCCTATCATCAAATGTGGACAGCACATTACTAAGCATGGAAATGTCCCCCAAAATACTTTAACATTTGTCGAATCCCACGCGATGTTTGACGCCACTAAGATGCTATGACCTTTGTTTGTCCTGTTTTTACGTTCGATTTCACGCATAACGCGTGATTCTCGCAGTGAACAGAAAACAATATTTCGATAAGATTTGCTCATCTTTATGTGGTTATATTCAAAACAAAACAAGTGTTCAAAACCTCAGCTATTGCTGCTATTAAGGCACTTAGTTCTATGACTTTTTCCATCCTATGAAATTCCCTCCCCCAAAATATGACATTGTCCAAAACATAGCAAGACGAAGTTTCAGATATGGTCATACTTCTATCAAAACATACAGAAATTGTGTTATAAAATCACAACAAAAACTCGAGTTTATGATAACCAAATTCGATCATTCCAGTTTTCATTCAAAATCAACTGTGGTGCTTTATGTTTGTGACAGTGTTCTCTCCAAGATTTTAGTTGAGAGGGGTGGCTAATTTGCATAATAATGAGCACATAATTTACATAAATTTTTGTAGTGTTACTTTTCACAAATTGCCTATACACCGTATTTCTTTTAGTTTATTCCGATGAGAAAAAAAATTAGAATAAAAATGCGAATCAGTAATCATACCACAAATAATTGTTTTCAGTTTTACATGTATTAGACCACGGTTGTTGTAAATATTAGGACGTTCTTCATGTGTTATTATAATGTATTCACCAAGGCATGTTTACTATTTTTTTTTTACCATGACGTTGAAAGCAAAAGTACTACATCTTCCTTTGTTTGATGCAAAAATAGTTACAAAATATGTAATTGGGAATTCTTGGTTAATTAAAACGATAACAAGTGAATTCTATGAAGAAATATCGTAACGATTTCTATAATCGTAAGACTTCTAACAAATCTATCTATCTATCATCTAGTCTTAAACACTTAAACTACTTTTTTCACAGAAAAAGAAGTTGACTCCTGATCATTGATAAAAATTGCTGTCGTATTTATATTTGTGTTATTCATCCGGATTGTTTATTACCTAACATTAATATTTCAATTTTTTGCTAAATTCATGAAAATTCATGTCATTTTTTTTTAATATTTTTCCTCAAATTTTCATCAAAACCTGTAGTCAATGGTAAATTGTGTTTATTTGGTCTAAAGTTAACAAAAATACTTAAAATTGGGAAAAAGTTTGCATCAACATTTTTGCACAAATCTCATAGTCTATCACATACTGTAAAAGGGTTAATTATTCATTGTGTTTTAATTTTGCTTATTTTGCTGACTGGAAAATGCGCTAAATTAAAACCCAGTGAATATGTAAAATTTGGCATAGAACACATTATCTAAATGATAAAACCGTGAATTTAAAACCCACTGAATATGCCTGAAATGGTAAATCAGCGAAATTTTACAGTACTGTGTTTGTTTCAAATGTCATTGAGCATTATATCATGTGATTAATTATTCGTGAAGTTGTTCAAATTGGACACACATTCAGGTAAACAAAAAACTAAACTAGCAACAGTCGTATTTATCGCTTATTTAGTGTTGAAATAATTTAATAATGGCTTTGTTTAGGCAATTAACTTCCTTGGGATTCGCAACAAATCACTAAAAAGTCACATCGAAGTAGATGCGGTTGGAGTCAAAATTGGCTGCGCACATTGTCGGCATTCAATCTGTTTAATGTGCTGATTGGCATTCTGTAATAATATCAGTTTTATTTCTAGCAAGATTTTGCAAGTGTGACAAACGGTATTGTAAGATCGTTTACTAAGAAGAGTGCTGCCCTTTCTAATATTTCATAATTTGAGGAAAACACAGTTTCTGTATTTGTACTATCATTTGCTATAATAAATATATTAGTAGTTTGTCACAGCTTTTCGTTTTTATAATCCCAGTGATTTGTCTATCGTAAATTACTGTGAAATACGATTGAATATGGTAAATCATCATCAACGTGGGTGTAATTTTACCAAGATGAAACTATTGTAGCTTGTGATAAAATGAATTTATACGACCTTGGTCAAAAGAGAAAACATAAAAATGTATGCCTGTAGGATTATAGGCCTGTAATGATGTCTTTATATTTTTTTATACGAGAGAAAGTACATTTCAGTAATAATTCAGTGTTTTGTATTACCAAATTTTGATCTTTTTTTTTTTTAAATGCTACCAACAGCTGTATTTTATTTCTCCGATTTTACTATGTTTAGCAAAATTTATTTAACTGACACCCAAACCAAATGAAGATATCGTTTGAAACTCTTGATTCACAAAATGAGTTAAAGAGGATGGGTTGTTATCTGCTTACTCATATTAAGCGACTCTAACAACCCTAAAAAACAGAAAGGTTCATGGGTAGATGCTTGTTTGTAACAACAATGCCCATCTGCTGCATGCGCATATGCAGTTGTGACTTGCTCGTTTTAAATCCTCTTGCGAGTCAAAATTATGTGGGCACTGGACTGGGCCACATGGTCAATTTCGACCAATGATCAGGCTGGTGTTGATTTTTTGAAGTTTCTTGTATTTGTCAGAAAAGTAATTTCTGATGCTAAACCAGAATGCAACAATGTTACAATACCTCCATGTCTGTACCTGCTTTTATAGGGCAGAATACAGCGTGTGCAGCACAACATCCATCAGACCCCGCTAAACATGGGCTCCGGTAATCAAGGGGTTTTTAGAAGACCTAATGGAGTGCTACAGTCGTCGCTCTGTGTCATGTTTGATATGCTACCCATATTGACGTATACAACATGTTTCTTTCAATGAAACTTGGTTACTAGTACATAGATGCTCTAAGATAACACACAGACCTGATAAACTAGTTTTTGGCTGAAATCTATGCATAGTATTTTTCACCAATTTTCAGCTGTTACAATATAGGTACTCTGGGATACTCCCCATACGTTATTAATATAAAGTGAAAATCTATGCATATCAATTACCTAATTCACATAAATTTATTATTGATATAGGTACTCTGCAATGATATAGGTACTCTGGGATACTCCCCATACGTTATTAATATAAAGTGAAAATCTATGCATATCAATTACCTAATTTACATAAATTTATTATTGATATAGGTGCTCTGCAATGATGTAGGTACTCTGGGATACTCCCCATACGTTATTAGTATAAAGTGAAAATCTATGCATATCAATTACCTAATTTACATAAATTTATTATTGATATAGGTACTCTGCAATGATGTAGGTACTCTGGGATACTCCCCATACGTTATTAGTATAAAGTGAAAATCTATGCATATCAATTACCTAATTTACATAAATTTATTATTGATATAGGTACTCTGCAATGATATAGGTACTCTGGGATACTCCCCATACGTTATTAGTATAAAGTGAAAATCTATGCATATCAATTACCTAATTTACATAAATTTATTATTGATATAGGTACTCTGCAATGATATAGGTACTCTGGGATACTCCCCATACGTTATTAGTATAAAGTGAAAATCTATGCATATCAATTACCTAATTTACATAAATTTATTATTGATATAGGTACTCTGCAATGATATAGGTACTCTGGGATACTCCCCATACGTTATTAGTATAAAGTGAAAATCTATGCATATCAATTACCTAATTTACATAAATTTATTATTCTGTTAATATTTTGAAAATTTGTTGGTAGTATCATTAAATCAGGTTGCTTTTACATTGTGCATCTCAAAAAGCAGGGGTGTATTAGCTGACATGTTCTCTATTTCTACTTTGTATGCCTCCAATACCTCCTCAGCACATGGGAGTTCTTTTTTTGATTATGCTTGTGCTGGTTTGTAGGATACTCATTAGTGTTTCCATTATGGAGAATACTCACTAGAGATGAGATCATTAAATTTGTTCGTATTAAAGTAGAATATTGAATCTAGATTGTTAATAATTGTGTGTCAGTACATCTGCTATAATAAATGTTTATTTTCTCATACAGTCATAGATCATGTGATTGCTGTCTTGTGTGTGGAAAGGGATATGGAACAATGTCTTAAAACAACACAAAAAGGTACTGTCATTTTTCATTAATATTTAACATGTATGAATATGATTTACTTTTTGCTAGGTTGTGTCTTCATTGAAGATTGTTACGAATAATTTCAGACAGAGTTGATCCATGGGAGTTTGGATATTCAAATTCATGGTGCTCTCCACTAACATAGAAACTCCGTGTTGACAAGCACTGTGATATAGCCTTGTTCATTGGTGCCTTCATTGTAGACATTTCTAATCTGGGGAATAAACCAAAGTTTTATTCATACGCTCCTGTCCCTCCAACTTAAATTTTTGTTGTTGAAAATGTAGTTGTCCAATAAATTTTATTGATTTTTAATCTAAACAAATTACCGGGGTACTACTAGACTACCTACAGTACAGTTCTCGCGGAAGCTTTGGCTTTTGTGGCATCATTGTCGCCTACGCATGGCTTCATTGTCGCCTCAGCATCGCATCATTGTGGCATCAGCTTCGCGTCATTGAAAATTGAAGCTACGTTCGCCTCGCTATTTTGTAGCATCATCGTGGCCTCAGCTTCGCAGTCTCATGGCATCAACATGGCATCAGCTTCAACTTATTGTGACATGAGTATGACCTCGTTATTGCACGCAGAAGGGCAGTAAACAAAAACATGTACAGAAGTTCGATATGTAATCGATTTGAAATTCAAGGCGAATAAAATAATATGATCAAGAGTAAAATGACATTTTAAAAAGATATCTTGTTTAATTATTTTAGTGTTGCGAGTATTGGGCACCAAAAACTTTGCGAAGTACATTACAATCGGCAAGGTGACGAGTTCCATATTGACTAGAAGGAAAATCGTGATAAATTCAAATCACACGATGCAATCGTCGTTCTGATACAACACAATTTGCTGTATACGAAGTGAAACTGTTCTTGTTATAAATTTACCTTTTTTCGCTCATTTTATTTGCTGCTTGAAGAGCAGATTCGGATTCCTCATTTCGGTGGTATTTTTCTGTGTTTCGTTTAGTTTTAGCCGAGTCCGACCCCATG